TGCATCTCACCCATGGAATTCCTCCAGAGATGAAGGAACCGCCCGCGGCCCCCTCTTGTGGCATCCTCTGCCTACTTGTGGCTCTTACGAAGAATCCTGGGCTCAGTCCAGCAGCCCCAGGTTCCCAGCCGCCTCAGCTCAGCCTGGATAGGCCTCAGCAGGGCTTGAGCAGCAGCGGAGGCCAGCAGAGGAGGCTCTGAGCCGTGGCCTCTCCAGCCCTCCTGCATGGGCCCCTCCCTGGCTCTGGGCTCTGCTCAGCGTCCCCTGCGACCTGTCTCCCGGCCTGCTGGACGGGGTCCCCACTCCCTGCCCGCAGCCCCCCGCAGCGCCTCTCCCGTGAGCACTGGCCCCGGCTGCTAACTAGAGCGTCCTCCAGGACCTCGGCCACCCCCGCCCTGCAGGCCTCCTGACCACCCGGGAGGACGGGGCGAAGGAAGGCCCCCAGGTCTGCTGAGCTCACTGTGTGTCACTGTCACAGGTGGCCAAGCCCATTCCCTCATGCTGACAGGAAGGCCTGAGCGCTGGTCAACYCTGGAACCCGACCCTGCCCATCCTTGGACAAGTCCCATCGTTTGCAAAAGGGAGGACACTGATGTCCCTCCGGAGGCTCCCAGAGACCTGTGAACACCGCTCACGAGCAGCTTCCCAGCTCTCCTTGCTGTGCCCCCACACACACAGGACCTGACAGCCTGCAGGTCCCAGCAGGGCCAGCCTCCAAGTCACGGCAGCTCCCAGAGATGTGAGGCGGGGTCCCCCCCCCCGGTCCACCTGTGGCCCCTTCAGCCAGCCTCACACCCATCTGGCCTCTGGGGGAAACCCCTCCAGGCCACGTGCGCTGGGAGGATCAGTGTCACCTCCTCACCTGAAACCCTCAAGGGCCTTGTGCCATCCTGCGAATCAAACCCAGAGTTTGTTAAAAGGCTGAAGCCAACCCGTCCGCCCCAGCGCCATCTGGTCTCGGGCCTCCTCCTGTTTCTGGCTGTTCCCGACCACCTGGAGCTGCCCGGGCCCTGGGACAGCTGCACACTCCTGCCTCAGGACCCTGGCACCTGCTGCTCCTTCCACCGGGCACACTCTTYCCGCGCCCCCTTCCCCTCCAGGTCCACTTAATCCCCTCTCCCAGGACCTGCCGAGGCACCGCAGACCCTCCACCACGGCCCCTGACCCACYGGCTCTCCCTCCGCAGTTCTGGGGAGATTCTCCCTGCGATGTCTGCCTTCTCCCTGGGACCACAGCGTCACAGACCATGGGCATTTCCTCATTTACCCCTGCGCCTGGCGGGTGCTCGGCCTTTGGCAACGCTTCATGAATCCTGGGCACCTGCAGGACTGAGCCCACACGTGGAGAAGGAGCCAGGAGCCCCAGAGCTGCGCAGCCCGGCCACCCCGGCCCTGCCTCCCTCCTCGGCCCTCCCTCCCTCCCTCCCTTCCCCTCACATGCTCCGTGGTCCCCATGTGTCCCCGAGAGCTTTGCTCAGCACCAAGGGGGCCTCCAGCCCTCTTCCTGCAGCCACCCGTGCTGTGTCCCCCAGGGAGCCGGCAGGACTGACCACACTAAGGCCAAGCCCCGGCTTCCCAGAAGCCCCCAGCACAGCCCCTCTGTGAGCTCACTGCCAGGGACACCGGGGTCAGAGGGCAAAGGAGTCTGTCCCCATCATGGTGCTGTGGGGGTTCACACCCTGAGCTGCGGGACTCCAGAGAGGGCGCCTGACCCTTGGGCCACCACCTCTCAGGGGAGCCTCCTGGGACCTCAGAGCCGGGCCCTCCCCAGACCCAGCGGGTGCTCCTGGCGCGTCTACACTTGGGATCCTTGAGAAGGCACCGCACGCCTTCTGGAACCTTCTCCCCTTTCTCCCTCAGCTCCCCACCTAACCAGGGGAGTCGAGGCCCACGGAGAGGATCAGAGTGCATCGAGGCTGGGGGTCCCTGCGAGAAGGCACCTCCTCTYCCTCATGCCTAGGACAGCGCCTGGCATAGGTGGGCTGCGACGGTCCTTTGATGGAGACAGCGTGTCCTGGGGCTGGCACACTTGTGACCCGCGTCCCGAGCCCTGGCACAGGTGGGGCTGCCCTCCTCCTCGCCTCCAGGAGAAGCTGGCTCCCGAGCTCCGTGCTCAGGGCGTGGACTTGCAGAGAGCCCTGGTGCCACTGGGCAGTCCCCAGCAGAGCAGTGAAACCGCCAAGTCTCCAAGCAGAGCGGTTCAGGGCTGGAGCTCAGGACAGACTGACCACCTCCCAGAATTGAAGGATCAGAATGTGGACACCAAGGCCACCACAGGGCTGCAAGGTCATGGGGGTGCAGAGGACAGTCCAGCCAGGCCCTCGTGTGGCCAAGTTCAGCCCCGCCAAGCAGGCTTCCTGGGTGCTGCAGTTTGGATATTGGCTGGGGTGCATCCCAAAGGCCCACATGGTGAAAGCTGGGTCCCCAGAGTGGCACGACTGGGAGATGGTGGAAGCTTCAGGAGGCAGGACCCAGAGGGAGATCCTTGGGCCATTGGGGTTATGGCCTCCAAAAGGGGATTGTGGGACCTGGTGTCTGTCTGTCTGTCCCCCAACCAGTTTGAAACATGACCTTTTTCTTCTACACATGCTCCCACCACGATGGGCTGCCTTCACCAGAACCCACTTGAACCCTCAAAACTATGATCTAAATAAACCTTTTTTTCTTTACAAAGTGGTTTCCTAAAGTATTTTGTTATAGTGATACAAAGCTGACCAATGAATGTCAAGTTCATCAGATCCARTGAAAGAGACCAGTGATTGACCCTGTGTGGTGGATCAAAGATGGCTGAAAACTCTCTGTCACTCTCCTCCCATGGAGAGGTGGAGTTTATCTCCCCAGCCTTTGAATGTGGGCCACSTACAACTGTTATAACCAATAAATGAAAGCCCTGAGCCACCACAGGTTCAAAGACCAGTTCCTCTGTTGGGGAGCCCACATAGAGAAGGTAAGGTCCTAGGACTACATGGAAAGAGAGTAAGAAAGACCCAGACTTTCAGCCTTCTCTACCAAGGCACCAGGCAGGTAAGTGATCCGGGAGAGATATTTCAGCCTGGCCCAAACCCAGATAACTGCAGTGCCAGACAACTGCACCGAGAGCAGAAGAACCATCCTAAAGAGCCCAGTCAACCMGACAATAACTGGTAGTTGTTCTGAGCCACGATACTTTGGAACTGTTTGTTACACAGAATAACTAGCTGAAACACTCTTGAACTGGAATGCTATTGACAGCCCAGAAAAATGTTATTTTTCTCTTTCCAGAGGAGGGAGGCCTCCAATTTTCTTGCCTTTTAGGGCACCTGGAAGAGATGGAGATCTCCCCACCTCCTGCACCACCAGCCAGGTGACTAGGGTTCCCATGATCACATTCCAGGAAAGAAAAGCTGATTGGCTCAACGTGGGTCAGGTGTCCACCCACTGACCAATCAGCTGAGGCCAGGATGTCCAGTTCCACAGCATAGACATGGCTGCTACCCTTGGCCCCACGGGTGGGGAAGGAAGAGAAGCAGTTGAGCTCAGAAAAAAGAAGCATGGGCTGAGCCCACAGGGGGGTCACTGTGGCAGGAACCTCCTGAGACAGCAGGGAAACCTTGCCCAGAGCCTGGCACAGGGACAGAGCCGTGAGTGAAGTGTGGGTGGCGCCACGGCCAGGTCCCTGTGAGTCAGGCTGCTGCACCCACGTGGCTCTTGAGTTTGTTAGTGTGGTTATTCTGCCTCCTTGAACTGCCTCTGAGGAGGGACTCTGGGTGTCTCTGGGCTTCTTGCAAGGCCTTTTACGTGCTCTCAGGGTGAAGGCAGCAGGAACACCAAAACTGCCCCCTCAAACAAGAGCGGCTTCGGGAAGTCCTGGAAGCTCCCACTCTGAGAGGCGAAGCCAGGAGAGGAGGCTGGGAGCTCAGGTGCGCTGGCAGCCCTGGGGGTCGGGGAGGGGCCTGAGGTCGGGAGTCTTTCCTGTGCGTCCCTGCAGGGGGCTGCTGTCCGTGCTGGGGGTGGGCGAGGCCCGATGCACCAGGAAACAGGACTCCATCGGGGGGTGTGAGGACAGGGTGGGGGTGCCCAGGCCGTCCTCATCTCACTCACAGTATGCCCCCACGGACCCCCGGATACCAGAGGAGGCACCCCCACTCTTCTCCAGGGTGACTGGAGTGTCCTGTGAGTCCCTTAAGGACAGAGACTGTGTCTCAGACACCTACCGGGCACAGGACGCTCTGTAAGCATCTGATGACCGAATGAGCAGCGCGTGAGCAGATGGGCCTATCGGGTGCCCTTTAACTCTCCAYGTCCCGCACCTGGACCCAAGGCCTGCTCTGCAGCTGACCCCTGCCGAGCACCAYCCAGGCGCCCAGCTCAGCCTCATCTGGGAAAGGGGGCGCTCCAGCCTGTCCTGGTGGGGCTCCGGGTGGGTGAGATGAGACCACGGAAGTAAATCTGTCACTRAATAAGGCAGGACAGCACCAGCTGGGTTGTCATCACTATTACCACCCCTTTTGCTGTCCCACAACCGCCATCAGCCCTTCTTCCTGGTCCCCCCATAACCACACCATCTCTGCCCCGTTCAGTGCTTAGGTCGAATCACATTTAATTGTTCTTCATCAGGGATTAGGGACATCAGAAGAGATTCACAGCACTCCAAGTCAAGACAGGGTCAACTACAAAATCCAGGAATATATTAAGCTCTGGATCAGAAGAAAACGCACACACGACTCTCTGGCACTTCTTTCCGAAGGGCTCACTCATGCACACCCTCCCTCCCTCGGGCACACACACGGGCTCCCAAACATCGTCACACGCTCCTGACAAGCACWCGGGGACATGCCCCTCCAGCCCCCAGCCAGCGGGATGCAGGGCTGGGAGGCCCGGAGCTGTCCCAGCACCCGGCCCCTCCCGGCGCCCTCACTAAAATGGCAAAGCTGGACGACACTGGGCTGCAGGGACACAGCAGGACCCTCTGAGCCAAGCTTGGGGTGGGGAGAGGGAGGCGCCAGGGTGAGGACAGCGACCTTAGACGACTCTGTTCTCCAGGACGGTCAGCCGCTTACTGACGGCTTCCAGTGCACCCCGAGTTAAGGAGAGGAGCAGCCTGGCCAGAGCAGGGGGCTGGCTCTGGCCCCACTTCCTGTTTCCCCAGGGAGGCCCCTCTTCCAGAGCTTTCTCTCACCCCTACACASGGGTCCTCCCTCTGTCAAAATGTATCCACTGATATCCACTGGTCCTGCTGATGATGCGCTTTCCAAAAGCACAGCCCCACTGTGCGCCCTGGGCTGTGCCCACATGGGTTCAGCCCTGCACGGTGCCCACCTCATCCTGGCTGAGTTGCTGGGGAYCCACCCCCACCTCTGAGTGCGGACTGGCCTTCACATTGTCACCATGAGCCTGTGAAGCGGGGAGTCCACAGAGACCATGCTTTCGGGGGTTTGTCCTGGTCTCTTGTCTGGGTCCTGTCCCTAGAATCTGGCCTCTGCCTCAGTTTACCCTCTAGGAACCTCTGCAGCTGAAAGGCCTTGTGCCAAGGCAGGTACTAGCCTCTTTGACCAAATCCTCGACAGGCAGCCAGCCAAGAGGAGCCTGCCCCAACCACCCCCAGGGCCACTTCTCCCCCCTGCCCCACCACGCCCTGCCCCTCCTGCTGCTCTTGCCCCAGCCTCCCAGCAGCCCCCGGGGAAAGGATATGCTTCCTGGTCAGGGCCTGCAGCAGCCCCTCCACTTTGGCCTGGAATCTCACGATGGACTCACAGGCACAGGGGTCTTCCTCTGCAAGGGACAAGAAACAAGGGAAGAAAAGGGAGCCCTGTGGTAGTGCCCAAGGTGGGGACAGTCCTTGCTCAGGGCCTGCATCTGTAGTCTTGGGGGACCGAGGGGCCTGGGAGATCTGGAGGAGTGGCAGCACCACCGCCATGCTGGGAGCCAGAGGGCCATCCCTGGACAGCTTTCCAGCCCCTCAGAGCCTGCGAGGAGCTGCAGTTACAGCAGCTGGGCTGAGCGCCTGCTGTGTTCAGGACCCTGCTCCCAGCCTCYCCTGTGTGTGACTCCTCAGCCCACCCTCTGGGCTTCAAGGAATCCACCTGCCCATGGCCATCAGTGTCGGAGCCAGGTGCACAAGTCCCCTTGGCTCTGGAGCCCAAACTCGACCCGGATGTGCCACCCGGCAGGAGAGCCAGGGAGGACCAGGGGAAGAGCTGGGCTCCSTCATGGGTCCCAGGTTATTAATAGTTGTCCCCTCCCCGCTGGCCTTGGCTTTCCTGTCTATGAAATGGGGATTATACTCCTACCAAATGACGACCTGGAGAACAGCATGGTTCATGTAGTGAGCATTCAGCACCCACATCCCATGGTGGTAAGAGCTGACCTGGCCAGCCCGCCTCCTGGTGCTGCCAACCATTGGCACCACCGGCCCGTGCCTCTCCCCTCCCCCACTCTGTTCCAGGATGGTTGCCTTTCCCACGGAGCCCCTGCCCCGCCTCCCTCCTCACTCACCCACACAGATCTTCTTCTGCAACTTCTTGCCGATCTGGTTGATGGTCTTGAAGTCAGCCGTGTAGAAGTAGTGCTCAGCCACAGGTTCCGAGGCGATTTCCCTCAGCTCGTCCTCCACGGCATTGCCCACTCCCACTGCAAACATCTTAAAGCCTGCCAGAGAAACAAGAAGAGAAAGGTTAGGGGTGGGGACCAGCAGCCATAGGGCTGAGCCTCCTGGGAAAGCCTGGGCAGCCAGCACCAGACACCTCCTAGTGGCAGCTTCTGGAATTGCAGGCACAGTGCCTGGGAGAAGAGCAGGAGGAAAGCAACCGGCCCTGGAGGTTTTTCCCACCCGTGGTTACTATTTCYCTCATTCAAAAGTGATAAAACTGAGGGTCGGGCTTGTTCCAAAGGGGGTTTGCCTTCCAAAATTTGGTGTGTTTGGGGGAATAAATGTTCAGTTGGAAAAGTTCCAAGTCTCACCTACAAAAGGACTTCAAGACAAATCACTGCTTCCCTAGGGCCTCAATTTGCCGTCAGTATGAAGAGAGGGCTGGACTAACAAATCCTTCCTCGCCCAAATGTACCTGGGTTCAGGACACTAATCCGAAGACAAGATAGACTACAGCTGAGCTGTGCCYATGCGCAACCCTGGCCATCAGTGGTGTCCAGGGCCCAGGAGGGCACCACCTACCGAGGTCCTTGGCCTTCTTGGCAGCATCGTTAATGTAGTCCTGGCTCCGGCCATCAGTGAAGACAATGCCCACCTTCTGGGCGCCGGGCCTGGCCCCGCTGGACACAGTGAAGGAGTTGTCGATAAGGTACTTGAGGGCAGCACCGGTCATGGTGCCCTTCTCCATGTAGGACATGTTCCGCACGGCCGCCTTGATGTCCTTCTTGGTGTGGAAGCGGCCCAGCGGGAACTCCTGGCGCACAGAGCTCGAGTACTGCACCAGCCCCACCTGGGCCAGCCTGTCGGACACGTCCAGGGTGTCCACAATCTGGTTGATGAACTTCTTCACCAGCTCGAAGTTCTCTGGCCGCACGCTCTTGGAGCCATCAATGAGGAAGACCAGGTCAGTGGCCGAGCTGCCACTGCCTCCACTGCAGACTGGGGAGGGTGCAAAGCAATGAAGCCTGAAGCGAGGCCACCATCCCAGCCACCGGCTGGACACCCACCACACGCCAGCTCCRGGCTGGGGATCAGCCCCTTTATCCTCGGAACCCCCTCCACAAAGCCAGGGTTTCGGGCCCCTTTGTACAGCAYTGGAAACAGCTGCTACATCCCACAGGTCGGCCGTAGTGGAACTGAGGTCTGAGCTCAAGATAAGTGACTCTTTCCACCACACTAAACCCACAGTGGAAAAAAAAACGGGTCTCTCTGCAGACACCAAACACCTGTCTGCTTGGAAGGCCAGTCCAGAGGCAGAGTGGGGGAGGCCTGCATGGGTTTCCTGGGGAGAAGCCAAGGTTCCGCCCCTCCTCCCCACCACCCCCGCCCCGGGCGGGGCTTGTCCACCTGTCTACTGACCATTGCAGGTCTTGCCATCACTGTTCAGGGTGAAGCCCTCGTGGCAGGCGCAGGTGTAGGAGCCCGGGGAACTGAGGCACACCTGTTCACAGTCATGGTCCCCTGTGGCACACAGGTCTGACACCACTGGGGGGACAAGGAGAGACTCAGATCTCACAATCACAAGGCCTCGGACATCTCAGCACAAGGCTCCTTCCAGATCAGGAAAGAACGGGGCCCCTCACACACAGGGAAATGGACACCTCAACTAGGGTGTGTGATGGTCCAGGCCCCAGACCCTCAGCCCAGAGCTGGAATCACCGCACCAGGRCCAAGATCTGTGAAGAGGGTCCTAATGTTGATGATCAAAATGAAAGTCCCTCTAAGAGGGGACAGGCCACAGGAGCAGGGCCTGCACTCTGTTTTGTTTGGTGCTGTGTCCTGAGTGACTAGAAAGCCACACGGTAAAGAACACAGCGCATGAARCTCACTCCATAAAGCTGCTACACGCCACGTGTTGCGCTCCACACCTTGCACCACCTCACCGAATCCTCACACGGAAGGACGCACTTTCCTTGGACCCGATTCACAGATGGGAACAGTCTTGGCCCMGCCCCTGCCCCACCCCAGACCCCGCCCTTTTGGGCTGGTCGCATCCCTAAGAAACCCCCCCACACAGACCCTTCTGCCCCCTCACCCTTCCCAGGTACCTCGAACCCTCCTGTGTCATAGAAACTTTTGTCGCCCAAAACCCATGACGAGAAACACTCTTGCTGGGTTCAGGCACTTGCTTGGTCCCCGCGGGGACTGACTTGTGAAAGGGCTCCTGGCATCCTCCCGTCTCTGCACTCCTCGAATGCAGGACGGGGACCGGCCCAGAATCAAGCCCTCCCTAGTAACTCCCCTGACCTGAGTCCGATCTAGGCTCCACCCCAACTCTCGCAGGCCCCGCCCTCCGGCCTGGGCCCACCCCGCGCTTGGCCTCAGCCCCGCCCCCCGCCCCGCCCACCCCAGCCTGGCCCCCTGCGTACGGCAGAAGGCCTCCTGGAACTTCTTGGACAGCTTCTCGATGACGCTGTAGCTCTCCACGTAGTCCACGTGCTCGTCCTGCGGCTCGCTGGCCATCTGCCGCAGTGTGGCCTTGTCCACGCGGCCCACGCCAATGGCGAACAGCTCGATGCCGCTGGCCCGGGCCCTCGCAGACACGTCGCGCACGCTGTCCTGGGGCCGCCCGTCCGTCACCACGATGACCACCTGGGACACGTGGGGGCATGTGAGGACCAGCCCTCCCTCCCCTGGCTTGGCTCTCCAGGAAGCCGTGGGGATTAACAGAAGAGGAGTTGGAGGCCAGAGAGGCAAAGCGACTGGCCCAGAGTCACACAGCTTGTCGGTGCAGGGGCTCCTTCTCCCGCCTGGGTTTGGTCTGGGAAAGAGAAGCTGGCTGGCCGGAGGGGAGGCAGGCTCCTCTGACTGCAGGAGACGTGGCTCAAGTGTCCAGGCTTCTCTGTGGGACAGGGTAGGGCCATGTCTCTCTCATCAAAGTGGAGCTTCTGCGGACTGTCCCCCTCAGGGGGCTGTGGAGACCCCAGGCTGCTGAGAGCCATACCCGAGTGGGCGC